GGGGGGGGGGGGGGGGGGGGGGGGGGGGGGGGGGGGGGGGGGGGGGGGGGGGGGGGGGGGGGGGTGCGCTTGCATTGAGCAGGTGATGGTGGATATCAAATAGCAATATGTAGTTTAGGATTGAAGCGCCTGGTGGCACTCCGTACTTGGTGCGTGGAAAATTCCAGTAATTTCGTCAATATAAAACCCCTAAGATGCCGGGGTTGCCAGTCAGTTGCTGTGCTTTTAGGTTATGCCGGATGTTTGCCTGGAAGCTGGAGTATCGTACGAGATACGAATGCAGATGGGCGAGAAACGTACCAGCCTGAATGACAGGACGGCATCAATTCTCATTGATTCAATTGTTCTCGCTCCACCAACTGACGAATTATTCATATCGCAGGGACTTTCTGCTGCTGATCGTCATAGGTACCTTTTTTTTTTTCTCCACTTTTTAGTTTTTAGAAAATTTTCATCGTTGGGAGGCATGCAATGACAGGGATTGTTGTTGTTTTTGTTCGCTTTACCAATCCGATAAATTCAGGATGGAGTACGATCGTTATCAGTGTCGATCACAGCATATGTCACTTACGCCGCAGGCTGATCTGTCGGAAGTGTGTTCACGTTATATCTGTCCCGTATCGGCAATGTTATTCAATCGTAGTCTGGAATGTGACTGTGATCCGACTGGCTCGCTTTCCGGCATCTGTTCCGTAAAGGGTGGTCAGTGCGACTGCAAACCGAATATTGTTGGACGAAGGTTGCTCTGTTGATAAATTTTTACTGTTTTGCCAGACTTCTCAAAATATCACATATCTGTGAAATGCATCTGGTACTGGTTGTGAAAAAAGTGCGCCTATCGTAGCAGAGCACGGGAAACATAAGTCATACCAAGTTTTGTACTCAAATCCTGTAATGAAATGTTTTTTTTTTCCTAAAAACCTCTGGAATTTTGTTGAATGTAAAATTCATTAAGTTTGGGGTATCTACATTTCGATCAGTTTTACCGGTTCATGTAGAAGATGACAGCTGTCTGTATAATAGATTTTGACCCGTGGTACGCCGGTTTTTCTGAGCTCATTGCGTATGTTGTGTGTGTGTGTGTGTGTGTGTGTGTGTGTGTGCGTGTGTGTGCATGCGTGTGTGTGTGTGTGTATGTGAAGACGAATTGTTATTTTTAAACTGTTGGCGGGAAACAGTGCTGCTTTAACTGCGGGCAGCAGTGTTTCGCAGCTGATGCATGTGTGTGTTTCAGATGTGATCGATGTGCTGTTGGAACGTACGGTTTTGGTCCTTCAGGATGTACTGCGTGTGGATGTGATAGTGTTGGCGCACTCAGCAATAACTGTGACAGACAGAGTGGCCAATGCCTGTGCAGAGAACGAGGAATTACAGGAAGGTAGTGAATTTGGAGAGATTTTGCATATTTATTATTTGATCGCCTGTGGCTTCTTACCATCATCCACTTTTAGGCAGTGCAATCAATGTCAACCAGGATTTTGGTCATTCCCGGATTGCCGGGTGTGCCAGTGCAATGATCATGCTTCGATTTGCGATCAGAAGACTGGCGCTTGCATTGAATGCCGGGATCTCACTGACGGTTATTATTGCGACCGTTGTAAGGTGATCGTTTCAATTTGTATTGTATTATTTTACAGATAGTTTTAAAATTTTTTAAGAATCATTGCTTTATCTTTTCAAGTCCCTTTAATTTGTACCGTGATTTCTTTTAGGATGGGTATTATGGTGATCCACGACTTGGCATAAATCTACCATGCAAACCGTGTCCTTGCCCTGGTGGTCTGGACAGTGGTTTTCAGCATGCAGATACTTGCTATCTTCGTCCAAGTGAAGAAAATGAAGCGCCCGATGTAATCTGCAATTGCAAGTGAGCTTTTTTCAGCAAATTGACACTTGCTTCAATGGCGAGGAAAAAACAGAAGAACTGTTGAGGGTTTGGATAGCAAAAATTCAAAAAAGTTCATTGCAGAGCCGGATATACCGGAGAACGGTGTGCTTCTTGTGCGGTGAATCACTGGGGAAATCCGAATGAGTTAGGAGGAACATGTGAGCCTTGTGACTGTAACGGTAACATCGATGTTTTGGTAGAGGGGAGCTGCGACCCTGTGTCCGGTGACTGTATCAAATGTCTTCACAATACGGAAGGAATTCAGTGTGAAGATTGCATCGAAGGTTATTACGGTGATGCGAAGATAAGAAGCTGTCAGAGGTTTGTTGTTACGTATGCTTAATTCTGCTGTTTCTGTTGGCTTTTGTTTCATCACTGACGGAATCAAAAAGTTACTCCTACTCTTTGCAAAGGCGATTCTCTGGAGCAGTTTTGAATAGTCTCTCTGGAAAACTCGCCGATTGAGACTTTAAAAAAAAATGAAAAAGTGACTGAAAGTATTAAAACTGAAATTATTTTGTAGATGCGTATGCAACGATTTGGGAACAAATCGAACAGCAGGAACATGTGATCGTGTTACGGGGCAATGCCCATGCTTGCCGAATGTCGTCGGACAGCAGTGTGACACCTGTGCGCCCCAGCATTTCGACCTTGCTAGTGGTAATCCTCCATTTTTTTTCTACTTTTTTTTTAATTTTTAGGACGATGTGGCGCGATTGAGGTTAAATGGTTAAATAAAACGATGTAATTTGCAAAAAAAATAGGGATAACACATGGGTTCTGTAGCACTAAAATGGAACTCAGGAAATTTTTGCAGTCTGTGCAGTCAGGTGTTTCCACGGTAAACATCGCATTATGGCAAAGTGCTTCCGGCACACCATTGTAACATCAAACCAATCTGAAATGCTTAGCTGTGTTAGTGTGTAAGTGGAACAAAAGAGAATTGAACTTCAAAATTAAATTGTCAAGATAGTGATAATGTTTGAACATTTTGCCGTATTTTTTGAACATTCTACCGTATTTTTGTGCTCACCTTCAATGAATAAAGGCAACAAATGATTGAAAACGAAATGATGTTCAGGAAAAGGTTGTGAGCCATGTGAATGTGATCCAGCGGGTGTTCGTCTGAACGCCGATGGTACGCCGGAACTGCAGTGCAATGAGTTTGATGGACGGTGCATGTGCAAGCCGGGAAGAGGCGGCCGAACATGGTATGCACATTGAGTGTATTTCAAGCTCATTGTCCCGTATTAATATACTTTAAAGGCGTAAGACCAGATAGCAGGAGCAGTGGCTGCTTGCTGTCTAAATTAGAAGCATTTTGCCGCCCTCGGTACTTATTGGAGCATGTAGAAGATGGTTTTTGTCCTCAAAGACTGCGTGATCGGGCCACTCCGCTCTGCTTGGACCATCGCTGACCCCATAGGCAAAGTTGTGCACAGCAGCAATGCTGCACTCTTCTACACCGCCGTGCTGCCAATGCGCTCGTAAATCCAGTATGTGTTGCAGCTCAGACTGTGAGGATTACCACTGGGGCGATCCAACAACTGGTGAATGTCGTCGTTGTGAATGTAATCCGATTGGTTCAGCAACTCAGCAGTGCGATCGCAATAATGGCTCTTGTGTATGCCTTCCTGGCTCTGGAGGTAACATGTTGATCTGAAATTTCTCGACGAAAATTGCTTTGGCTCTGTTGTTATCAGTGAACTGCAAAACGGCGGGAGGTACCGATCCTCCTGGACTCTTTGTTCTAATCCATTCGCCATAATAATGTTGAACTGATAATAACAACAACAATAATAATAACAACAACAATAATAATAACAGTAATAGTAATAACAACAATGACAATGACAACAACAATAATAATAACAACAATAATAATAATAACAATAATAATAACTATGACAATAATAATAACAACTATAACAATAATAACAACGATAACAGTAATAATAGTTATAATAATATTTGGCTTAAGTTGGCATTGTTTTACTGTCACAAGCATAAACACAAAATTCGCTTAAAGTAATTCGGATGTACTGGAAGCTTTCTGCGTGTGAATATCATACTTGTCGTCCACTGGGCGTAAATTGTGACCCTTTTCACTGCGATAGAGCTGATATGCCTTTTCTCAGCTTTGCGATATTTACTGAATTACTCGCAAATAGCTTCTGTTAAGTCTTCCGCTACACTAAGGCTAGCGGTTCTGAATTGTGCACTTCAAAGCATTATAAAGAAATTTAGCGATGCTTGCTTTTTTCGTTCTTTCGTGTTGCGCAAGAAACGGTGTTTAGGTCCTTTGTGCAACATGTGTGCCAGGGGATATACCGGACAGTGGCCGCATTGTGAAGCTTGTGGTGAATGTTTCCAGAATTGGGACGAAATTGTACAGAATCTGAAGAACCAGGCCGCAACTCTAATTGGTAGCCTTGCTATTTTTTAAAAGCAAATAGTTTTTATACGATTTTTTTTTTTTGCAAGAAAAAAGGCGTTATTTTGCATTGGTCACGATTTGTCTGGTTGTGTGCCTGCTTGCGGAGTGCTTGACCGCCGAGCAGTTTTGATCAAACTGAAAAAGGTTGAGTGGTAAATTCTGAGAACATAACATGTTCAGCTGCATTTAAAAAAAAGACTTCTTCGCGTATACTGCTTTGGATCTTTGCAGGTTTTAATAGTTTAAAGCTTAGAAAGTCGTGACATTTCTGGTTTGAGTCGTTCGGTTGCCAAAACATTGGGGATGTCACTAGCTTCGAGCTTCCAAATGAAAGTGGAAATATTAAATAAGTCATCACTCATTTGAACAAAACAGCTCCGCTGAAAAAACTGTTTGGAAGTTCTCATCGTAAGCTCACTATTTGTAGAAATTTTAATTTTTCTCGATTGTGAAGGAAATTAGATGATGAATTGTGTTTTACCTTTTGTTATATGCGTTGATTTTGCAGAGACGGCAAATAATATCGAGGATACCGGAATTGTTTCTGTTTATGACGACGCATTTGAAAAGATGGAAGCCACTTTGACTGATTTGAAAACGCAATTGGAATCAGCCAATATAACACGAAGCGATATCAATGAATTACAGGCGGAGATTGATAATCTGCGCAAAAATGTACGTATGTCACGTGCATTTCACTTTCTTCTCGTTTGCATAATTTAATGCTAAACAGAGGGACTGCATTTTGATGAAACATTTTTTTTTGTTTTTATTTGGTGTTGTTTAGGTGAGCAGGAAGAAAGGGCTTCTGAATGAAGTTGGCGCTCGTACAACTGAAATATCAAGCAGCGTTGATAAGGCCGACGTCGAACTGAAGTCGTTGACTGCTGAGGTTGAGAAGCTTTCGCAAAAATCTGAGGCACTCAAGGAAAACGCAACTCTGCTGCGAGAAGCTGATGTGCAGGTATTTGTTAAAAGTGAACAAATAAAACGCGTACTTGTTTATTCGGGATTTTTATTTCCTTTAAAAATTTTTTGTTTCAGGGAGCCTATAATATTAGTCGAGAATCAGCAGAAAAGTCGGCTGCTGCGAAACGACGCATAGACCAGGCAGACACAAAGATCACCAACGCCGAAAGTGAGCGGCAAGAAGCAATATCGTTGTTGGAGAACAATCAGCTTGATTTTGAAAAGCAATTCAAAGAAAATGAAATGGTCTTGGCCCAGATTGATAAGCAGGTACCTTTGTTTTTTTCTGTATTATAGCCGCCAACCAGACAAACATCGAATGTAAACATACAGAGATTTTATAATGCAAATACCCAAGAATTCTCTTCTACTGATTATCTGCTTTTATCAAATATTTCAGCTGACAGGCTTCGAAAGCATGTTACCGGCGTTAAACAGGGATGTGTGTGGGGCTGAATCCGCTCCTTGTGATCAGCTATGTGGTGGGCCTGGAGCTTGCGGGCACTGTGGTGGGCCTTCTTGTCTTTCTGGATCAGTACGAAAGGCTGAAAAGGCGAAATTATTCGCAGAAGAGGCTGATCAGAAACTCAATGAGAAGCAGAAGGAGGCTGAAGAGGTTTGTTATCATATAATTGATTTAATTTTTATACCTTTGACCGGCACCACCATTCATTTTCTGTTGGTAGATGAGCAAACTTGATGAATCAAAAGAATCTGGTGGAGTCTTTTAAATGCAGATGTGGCAGCTGGAGCGCTGTTGGGACAGATTTGGCGTCGAGGAGCATCTGGACTCAGAACCGAACCGTTGAAGGAGGGGAGATGAGAATCCCGTGTGCCATGAGAAGAGCTCTAATAAAGCGAAGTGCCCTTATGTCTGTTGGGGAAGACATGTTGTTAGGGTGGAAACGCCGGAATTGAAGTCGATCAGGAAGACGCTCCTGAAGCTCCCCGTAGAGAGGAAGTAAGACCAAGCTCGAATGAAGGAAAAAGCTGTTAGGTAGTGGGGATTGTATCCGTCCTGTTTCCTGGTGGGTGAAGAAATAGCGCCAGACAAGCGGCAAGCAGAAATTGTTTTGTGAAATATGATGTAAAATATCAGAAATAGAATGTAGAAGGTAGCGGGGGATAGAGGATAGGTTGCTTTGATGATTCATAGATTAGAAAGGATGGAATGTAACATAAAAACTGCTCTACATATAGTAGGAATATAAATGTCAAACATTTTCAGCCGATAAACAATCATTTCCTTTCTCAAAATACGCCAAATATTTCAGATCCTTGCCCGTGTTCGAGAAATTCTTCAACATACTTCTGTCACAAAAGGTAAAGCAATGGATGGACATGATATTGCGGATGCGGCAGCCAAACAGGTTTTGTAGTTCGCTTTCCTTCACTGCGCATAGACCCACCAGACTCTTATGCAAGTCGTACTTTTTATCTCAACGAAAGAAAGATTTTTTTTAGGCAAATTTAACACGGACGTCTTTGGAGGAGATGGTTGCGCAAATGAATGAGTTTCTGAACAGTGATCAGCGTTCTAGCCCGGAACAAATTCGGGCATTAGCTGAAGAAATAATGGGTGCAACGATATCTCTTACTCCCGACCAAATACAAGAACTCGCCAATAAGGTGCTTTTTTTGTGATACTTTGAAAATACTTTTTGGGTAAATGGACAACTATAGGAGCAGTGTGAGTTTACAAAAGTTTGGAATTCCAAGAAAAGACTTCTTTTGCAGTGCTTTTTATTTAGACTGTAAATGCACATCGTTTCGTACTCCTTTTTATGGAATTCACTTAAAAAATGCAGTATCGTTCTTTTTTAGCGAAAATTCTCTTTTCTGCTGCTGACGACTACATCTCGCGGTTTCAGTTTACGAAAAGCTTCCTTGTAATGCGATTTATGCGAGTTCAGTGAATTACTTCCCCTGCATAATCTTATTTTCTTGTGCGTCCTTTTTCGTTGGTATTCTGTGTGCTATAATCAAATATGTTATCTGCAGATTCGAGAAAAATTGATGAACATCAATAACATTGATATCATTTTGAATGAAACACGAGGAAACAAAACAATTGCTGAGGCTCTACAAAAATCGGCGGAGTCGGCGAGCATGCGCGCAGCCGAAATCAGGTAAACGTATCTAGTAATAAGTTCTTGCCAAACGAAGATCTCTGTGAGATTTTACTGCGCATTTTATAAAAAAGAAAAAAAAACAATAGTTTTATGTATGCTGTTCACGTCCTTCAATCCTTTTTTTTGTGCTTAAATGATGCCTACTAGATGATGATCACTTGCATAAGATTCACAAATTTCCCATTTTCATGACATGCGCTTTCGAAAGTACCCATCAATTTTCCGTACTTTTGTGGCCATCGCGAACCACCGAATTGATTAGAAGCGTTTTTGTTCTTGAAAATTTCCAAAGTTATCGCTTATCAGCCAGTTTAATTTTTCTTCATACTAGGATTTCTTTTGATTGTATAGTGGCTGAGATTTTCCTTTCGCTGAATACCAGTTCGCAGCGACCGTCTCCCAGCATTCTACGCTTCCATTTAATGACTAGATGTTTAGAGTGGAAATTTCCAGCAGCTTTCGTTGCTCCTGCATAAAACAGTGGCTTCTTTGTTTTGCTTTTTGACCGGGTGCTTCC